TAGGGCTGTGTTGTAAATCAATAGCAAAAGATAATATTTATATTTATGCATTGCCAAATAAAAACAAAAAACTCAAGACTTTATTTGATATCAGACAAATCTGATTCAATTATATTTGAGTTTTATTAGAAGCATTACCAGGAACAGAGTGATGAAATCATAAAGTGTATGGCTTATATGGTGTTTTAAATGAGTATGTTGTGAATCTTAAGTTTGATTGGTTTGCATAAGTATACTAATTTTAATCAATGCAGGTTACTACATAACAGTTACAGCATTACAGTTATGGCATTATAGTTACAGCATTACAGTTATAGCATTATGGTTACAGCATTACAGTTACAGCATTACAGCATTATGGTGTATAATATTTACAACAATCAGGTACTGTGATAGAATTAATTCTACTATATAGTAAAATGCTGTAATGCTGTAATTCAGTAATTCTACTACCAACTATATACTCACCCATCTCTTTGCTAATTTCAGCAGGCAGGAAACCACTGGCTGTCAAATCCTATAGTGACTCTCAGCACAAATGATGTTGCAAATTTTTTTAGGATGTCATTGCCATTCTGGCCATCACTGGCCCATTACTTATGTGCTGCTAACTGATGTCATTTTAATTTCTTTATAAATAAATGATCACTTTCTGCCTAAAATATTTTTCCAGCATAGTCCAAAATTGGAAATATGTAATGTGATGCTTTTCAAGAGACAAAATAGCATGATTAGTAGTACTAGGAATGTATTGAACCAAATTGTATAGTTTACAAGCAAGTTGCTATGTTTGAAACCTCAATTCTATTGGATAGTATGATCATTGTATATGTCTGTTATCATCATGCATGCCTTGACAAATTTGGTTATATTAGCATTACTGAATTGGTAGTTTATTAAACTTTTACTTTGTCTTGCTTATACCGGATATTTTTGGAGTAGATCACCCATGTGATTGTTGACTGTTTTTTCGATCCATTGATCTGCTATCAACACGAATGAATAATCAATTGCAATCATAAAAACACTTACTTAACAATAGTGTATAAATTCTATGTATTCACTTGATCTTTAAATTAGATTCTTAAACACTGTCACTGTGTCTTAACTTTTAAGAAAAAATTTTTTCTGTATTATTGTACAAAGCTGGTTATAAATATTTCGAGTCATTTCACGATTTAGGTCAATTTCGAATAGACCTAGGTCATTCATAAATTTTCACTGATTAGAAATAACCCAGGCCAATTTTTAATGAAATGCTATGAAATTTAAAGTTCAGAAGTAACTAAATATTGAGTAACAAATATATATCAACTACTTTATTATATGTAATTTAAGGATCAGGTATGACAAATCATTTGCATGACAAATAATCACTATCTAATTTATTTATATAAATAAATTAGTCAGTGCTTATTTGGCACACTTCATCACATGTTTCCAAAACTTAATAAAAATTTAGAACCCAAAATTATTACATATATCAAATTAATTAAACTTTTTAAATGTTTAACTTTATCAACAAATACAACTTTTTTTTCTTATTAATTTTTAAAATAAAAAGTTATGCATGAAACCTTTGATTGAATATTAAAATCAAAAATTTAAATATTGGGTAACATAATTTTAAAATTATTTATGTTGGTGCAACTAAAGAACTTTATATAATTAAATGACCTGGAAACGCAAGTTTGTCCTGTGATAATTTTTTATGCTTTTAATGTACATTTTTTTATATTGTTTTTTTTTTTTATTTATTTGTATTGTGCATTTTTTATTTGTATTGCACATTTTTTATTTATATGATTTTTTTTTTTGAAGTATTAAAGCATTTTTTCTAATATAGTTAAATTTTATTCTAAAGAATTTTTATAAAATTTTTGATTTTTTAATATAATGTTTGTTTTTTTTATACAAAAGACTTTAACAATATAATTAATATTATTGCTTGATTTATATAATTTATCATTTGAGCTTTTAATTTAAAATTTTAAAAATTTTACTAATTAGGTCATTTCAAAATTCAAGAATGCTTAGGTTAATTCAGAATTGACCTAAATCATAAAATGACTCAGAACATAAATACCTCTGGCACAGGACTAAAATGACATATAGTAAATGCTAGCCATTTATGCACATAATATAAGTACTGCATTAATAAAAAATATATTACATGCAGTTAGTTATGTAAATAGCCACTATATACTATATGTTGTTTTAGCCCTGCTTTGGCACCAAAACACCTCTTTATTATACTTTTATGCATTAATTTATAAGTATTATTAGAATAGCTAAGGGCTAAGTGTAAATATACTTGCCTTTTTAAGTTATTGTTGAATTGTCTTATTAGTATCTCTCTTTATTATTATATTATTATTCTAGTCAGATTTGGTTATATTAGCATTTTATCATACTACATATCCAAAACTAGCAATTTATTAAATTACTTATTTATTTTCTTATGACTATCTTGATCCAGGCATCACTTGTGTGAAAATTACTGTTAACATTAGGCTTGTTTTTATTATTCATATGATTATCAATATGCCAGTATTAGAGATTAGTTTTAAATTATTTTTTACTTTATTAAGTATAATTTATTATTTATTATTAATAAGTAATACATTAATAACTTACCAAATATAAATAACTTATTATGTATTATTAAATATAAATACATATATATATATGCATTAATTTTTTATTATTATCTATAGTATTTATCAATATGCCATCCAAAGAATATTATCTTGCAAAATACTTTGAAAAAACAAAAGAAAAAGCTAATAAGTCTAATGTTTTTTCTATTTGCAAGTTTTGTATTAAAGGTCTTAGTTATAATGTTGCTGTAGTGCAATTAAAAATTACTCATAAAAGCCATGACTGTAAAAATTATCTTAAATCATGTCAATTTTTTCTTGCTAAATATTCATATGAAAAACAACAAGAAATTTTAAACCTACCAGATGAAACAATTGAAAGTTCTTCAACAAGTATGAAAAAAAGAAGGTTAAATTTATTTAATAAAACTGTAGATGATTATTTTAAACCCAATTTTCAAGAAAAACATTTAGAACAATATAAAAGTTTACTAATTTAGACTATAGCACTTGTGGGTAGTCTTTTTAATAGATTGAAGATTCAGAAGTACAAAAACTTATACAATTTTTAAATCCATCAGCTACTTTTCCTAGTCAATTAGATTTTTCAAATCATATTTTAAATCAGGAATTAGAAATAGTTTTGGAAAATATTATTCAGCCTGCGATACAAAATAATCTTAATGTTATCTTATCATATGATAGTTGGAAAAATGTAGCTTCATGAAATATTATTGAAAGTACATTAATTACTGCAGAAGGATTAGCATTAGTATAAAATATTGAAGATTTAAATAATAAATGCAAAAACTGCAAACTATAGTATTAATGACAAAAAATTTATTTAATTTGATTGAAGCTAAGAATATTTTAGTAAATAGACTAGTTACAGATTCTGCATCTGAATATATGGCTGCAAGATAATATAATAAATTTAAATAAAATTTAAATTAATTTATAATAAAAGTATATAGATATATATTTATTTATTCTTATTTTTTTTATTTTATTTATTTTTTTAGAAAAAGACTTTATAAAAAATTTCAAAATAAAGTTTTTTTACCATGTTTTAGTCACCAAATGAATTTATGCATGGGTAATATTTTCAAAAAAGATAGTAATTTAAAAATTATCACTGAAGAAGCAATCAAAGTGGTTACTTATTTTTATAGATCAGATTTTTTTTATAGCTGATTAAAAGATGAACAAGCAGTTATATATAAAGGAAAATATATTGCTTTAATAACTCCTAATGATACACATTGGAATAGTCACTTTTACTGTTTTTCAAGTATTTTAAAATCTAAAGCGGCTTTAAAAGTTAGTATATTATTTCTATATATAATTTTTTTTATTATTCTTTAATTAATATTATTAAGATATAATTTTAAAAATATGTACTTATAAAGGCTTTACTTTATTTTTTTTTTGGTGTTAAGGTAAGGCCTTGCTCATATCTTTATTAGTAATTTTAGTTGTACATATTAATATACTATA